AAAATGTTGAGTCTTTAACCCAGTGTTACATGTTTTATTTGTCTATCTGCTCTGCTATATACTGCATTTTAACTTCACATTGAAAAAAAAATTGTTTGTGGGGTTTACCAATACCCGGATTGAATTTCTGGAAAAGTGTGATTCCGCTTCCTTGAAATTGGCCACAAATAAATTATTTTAGTATTAATAAATGCATGATTTATGTTTATTTATTGATTATGTCGTTGCTATTTTTTAACATTTAAATGAAAAAAAAATAAAAAGTGTTATTCATGGCTTTTTTTAATCTTTGAATATTTTATCATTGAATATGTAATTTCTGCAAAAAGTAAAATGTAAATGGCAACTTATTTGGTGTTAGATTCCTTTTAAAAACTAAATTATTTCAGTTTAAAAAAATGCATATAATGATTTAAAAAAAATCAGTTTTAATACAGAATTTTATTATTGGCGCCATTTTACCTACCTGTCATTTGGGGCCATTTTTACCGGGGCCATTTTTTCCGGGGCCATTTTTTCATGGGCCATTTTTTCCGGGGCCATTCTTACCGTACACCAATACGACTGTCACTATGCCAGCAACACCTCCAAACCTATAAGCTTATATTTATGTACACATTTATGTACACCGTATTGTACATTGCTGTGTTTCTGTAGTAGTTTTAAATGTTTTCTTTATGAACGCACCGTCATTTGCTACGCGTGACGTGTGCCGCCGATGGAAAGGCGTAGTTTTTCGAATAAAGTATTTTTATTATTATATACTTTAATTATTGTAGTCAGCAACACGGCTTCAATAATGAACAAAAGCGGTCCGAAATGTTCCACAGTATGGTAATTCTGGTATTCTGATATTTTTTTTAATGTCTTTAAAAATCCAAACAATTACATGGCATTCAGTAATTGACGTAGACGATTTACTTTTGAATAATGTATTTATAATTATGTGAAATCAATATCTAATACACTTTATGCATTTAGGCCTACATGGACGACAAACTGAAAAATGCAAATGACGTATTTACTGTATAACAATGTCCTTCAATTTACAGGTAGCCCAGGTATCGATTCAAATTAAATTTCAAATTCAGATTACGGCAATGGTTTGTGCGTAAGATAACACGTGTGTATTTTTCGTTTCTTCGCCATTATGTTTTTTCCCCCACAAAATAAATTACGTCTTGCAGAAAAGCAACGAAGAGCATTTTATTTTACATAGCCTGGCCTAACACAATAGATATCATAATAAATCCCCATTTCAAAAACTGCACGGATGGTGGCAGGTGCCAGTAGGGGAAATGGATTAGGTAAGTTTGACTACACAAAAATGTCGATTCAGACTTCTGCTTAAGCTTTCAAACAAAATTCATGATGTAGATGAAATATTGTATAAATTCAGTCCTATACACATTATTCTGCTATATTTGAAAGCAATGTTTAATATCTTTATGCCTCTCATATACCGATTTTAAATTATTTATATGAGGTTTTTGTCCACTAACTTTACAGTTATAAATGTATACAGTTTTGTAATTAATATTTGTTAAGTTGTTAATTGCATGATTAGTTTTATGGGTTTCAAAACAATTATACCAAATCATTTGCTTTATTTATTTAAAGTCAATTTTCTTTTGAACCTTTGTTCGATAACAACGTGTAATTGTTTCCACAAATTATTCACAAATTGGCGATTCAAAATAGATATTTTATATAGAAAAGAGTTACAAAGAGGTACAAATAATACGGTGAATAAATCTAAACTGAAAATGTTTAAGACTTGTATTGATTGTGCATTTATCTTATGTAATTGTGAAAATCATATCCCATTGTAGTTGAGTATTTGTCAAGTTCCTTATTTCCATCTGGACTCGATTCTATTGGGCACTCTACCATGTTTCTGACTCGGGCTTTTTTGGGTTAGGCTGGGTATCAGAAAAATGCCAAACTCTCCTGGCTCGAAGCATACAAATGTACTGGCCTACCTAATTTGATCCTTTTTCATGAAACAAGCGAGTCTTCCAACACAAACTTCATCACCAGACCAAAATTTATTAAGCCAAGTTTCCATAAAATTGCTACACGGTATCGTTCGTTCTATTACAAATATAAAAACGTAACTGAATATAATTAAACCAAATAGGCCTACGACTTACCACCGACGACAAAGAAGATCAATGATTGTAGTCAGCGATGCTCAGCAATGTACGGCGGCACTGTAAATCTACAATTTCATTTACACCGACCTCGATCAACCAGCAACAACTGGTTTGTAATGAGCAACGGGTCCTCAGCATGGGTTTCAGCAACTACAGTATATTCTACTGATTAAAGATTGCACCATGCTCAGACCGTCAACGACCAACACGACCAAGATAAAGAAACACTGCCTTGATGTTCTGAACTAGTCAACGCAGTCGCCAACTATTATTAGTCTGTTCAGCAACACTATTTGTCCAAACTTGCTCTTGCGTTGAAATTATTGACCGATAATCCCCATCTTGTGAACTATATGGACTTCCACAGTTGACAAATGATGGCTAACCAATTAAAAAAAAATCAAAATGTGGTTATTCCATCAATTCAATACTTTTAAGATGAGATTTATTTATCAAAACACAATGCCTGTCTGTCACATTAACAACTAGAAAACCAACTGACACCCGATTCTACACGATGAAATGCACTGATACTGCTTCGGTGTCACATGTGCTAATACACATCATAATTAAGTAAAGTTTCCATACAATCGCTACACACTATTGCCGACAGCTTTCGGTGAAGCCTGGTTTCCTTAAAATCGCTACACTTTCGCTAAAGTGTTTTCAGTCCGCCACGCAATCGATAATCCTCACCAATTCGACTGACCAATCAGCATCACCGAAAGCTGTCGGCGATAGCGTGTAGCGAAATTCGAGTTAACTCGGCCCCAAGTCAACTCGGCCCCAGTCAACTCGGCCCCAGTGAACTCGGCCCCAAATCAACGCGGCCCCATGTCAACTCGGCCTCAAGTCAACTCGGCCCCAAGTCAACTCGGCCCTAAGTAGTCAACTCGGCCCCAAGTCTGTCTCTTATACACATCTAGATGTGTATAAGAGACAGTTTATGTACACATTTATGTACACCGTATTGTACATTGCTGTGTTTCTGTAGTAGTTTTAAATGTTTTCTTTATGAACGCACCGTCATTTGCTACGCGTGACGTGTGCCGCCGATGGAAAGGCGTAGTTTTTCGAATAAAGTATTTTTATTATTATATACTTTAATTATTGTAGTCAGCAACACGGCTTCAATAATGAACAAAAGCGGTCCGAAATGTTCCACAGTATGGTAATTCTGGTATTCTGATATTTTTTTTAATGTCTTTAAAAATCCAAACAATTACAATTATTATATAATAGGTAAAATCTAAACCATCTTATATATAAATGCACTAGGAAACGAATACTATATAACAATACGGACTTTCGAAAAACTTTGTTGAAGAATTTCAGTATATTTACCTAGTATATATACATATACATAGGCCTATAATGTATATTTAATATGCCTATAAATCAGTATGTTCATATCGTTATTATCAATAGTTTTTATTAGGCCTTTTATTATTATTTTAATATTATTTTTATTAATGCTGTTTTTATTATTGTTAATGAAAAAAGAATGACAAAGGCACGATTTAAAACACTTTAATTTTGGCATTCATTGCATTTATATTCTTTGGTAATTATTTCGTAAATATATAGTAAATTAGGGGCCAAGTTAACTTGGGGCCGAGTTGACTTGGAACAGAGTTGACAAGGGGCCGAGTGGACATGGGGTCGAGTTGACTTGGGGCCGAGTTGACTGGGGCCGCGTTGACTTGGGGTCGAGTTCCCGTGTAGCGATTGTATGAAGTTTAGCGATTGTATGAAGTCGAGCTGGATGCTGATTGCTGATTGCTATTACAGTACAAGGATTGCAGTAAAAAACTGTAGCAATAGTGTAACGATTTTAATGAAACCAGGATTTAGTGACGACACTAATCACCAACGTTTGTCACCTTAGACAATTACTGTTCAAAATGTATCAATGATTTTCGAACTTCGCTTGCACTATGAATATTTTTCGCTGATGGTGAAGCTTATGCATAATTATTCTTTTAACATAGATGTGTGCACGCTTTAACTTGGAATTTAGACAGTGATGTGGGTCGATATTAACCGCGTATTTAAAATGCTTTATTCATAATAATGGTATTTCTTGTCATGAGAACATCATCCTCATGAATAAATCGTGTTTACAAAAACAAAGTGCTGGTTTTATTTATGATCATAAACAAGTTTCAAATACAGTAGAACCCAGGGGATACTTTCGGGATAAAAAAAAAAGAAGTGTCCCCTTAATAGGGGTGTCCTCTGAATAAGGGTACCCTTATTCAGGGAACACTAACCAGAAACGTGAAATTGTCCCCCTTAATAGAGGTTTTTGGCACGTTTTCGTACAATGATGCTATAGATTATTTATAATTTTATTTTGACTTAAGAATGAGTTAATTTATAATGATTGTAATGATAAAAAACATTTCGTTTAGATATGAAATCAATAAAATATGTAATTAAAACTATAAAACTGTGTATGTTGTTGTTCTTGATTTGAGTTCAATCTTTTTGACCAAGCATAAACAAAATATTGAGATACCTATAGGATGCACAATATAGAATACTAAGAATAAACAATTTGAAATCACGGATTAGGCTGTACGGTATAGATTAGAATCCAATATGAAAATACACAAAGCAAGAAATCCCCATTAATGATCAAATTGACAATGCCCATTCTAAAAGAGTGAGAGGAAACATTCTGGTTTGAATCACTCAAAATGTGTCCTTAACAGGTGTTGGCCGTTGTGTTAAACGATAGCCTATACTGTATTCCCCTCGAAAAGTGTCCCCTTAATAGAAGTGTCCCAAAGAATGGGTTCTACTGTGTAACAATGTTTTAACATAAAAAATTCAAACACAGAACAATAATTTCACGCTTTAGCAAAAATCTGCTGTCGGGAAAGGGAGGATACATGAACACAGAGTTTTTTTTTTTTTTTTTTTTCTTTTGTGATTCTTTAAATTTGATGATGAATTTCATTTCCGTTTTTCTGCCCACAGTACATTATATAAAAACATAAGAACATACAACAAATATGTATCCAACTTAGAATGGGCATTTAAATATAATTCTGATTATTTAGATTTTTATAATTCAATATTACGCAATTACTTATAAATTAATCTATAGTTAAAATAAATATTTCAGTACCGTTTTTGATTTACATCAATCTTCGGGTAAAGAACATAATGAATTAATAGAAAAAAGTAAATAATTACAAAAAAAGATATAATTACATTTGCATTTCAAAAATATCCTGGGTTTGGTAGTTAAGGCGAGACTGTTTTATGCCTTATTTAGATCACTCTCCGACCAAAATCTTATTTTATTTTTGGCATTTTAGTGCATCCACTGCTGGATTGGAGTTATTCGGTGTAAACACCAAGGATAGCTCACAAAAGTCTAGAAGACTTATTTCCAGAATCCAGTGGGGTCCTTTTGGTGGTGATTGGGCAGTACACCAGGAGACAATCCCCTACTCTTTTCCGAAGAGTGTACTGCATTTTTTAACGTGCACATGGGCCATAAATGCACACGGGACCAACGGCTTAAACGCCTCATCCGAAAGATGGTGCGCTATTGTAACTTGTATTTCAGCCCTCTAGCTAAAACACAAGAGGACTCGATTGGAATTAACCGGGGACCTAGAGATCTTCACGGTTCAGCGCACACACAGTGGCTACCACCAGATTAGCCGACTGAGCTAAGCTGCTCTTAAACATTTTGTAGGTTGTTTAGTATGTTTAGTATAATATTATTTCATGTGTTGCTGCCACGAAAAATGTAAATCTCATTAAAAAAAATTGAAGTTTATACTTATTTTTATTACGCCCTCCACTCACACCTGAAAACTCCAAAAATAAGATATACAATTCCTTAATTATATAAATTTAAAGCATTTATCAATCTCATCACTACACTGTTGAAACATCTTATTTTTTCCTCCGCCTAGATCGTTTTGGCAAAATCCTTTTACAAATTGCTCAATGTGAGATGTGGCGGATACAACGGCCCAGGCTCCCCTAAATTGTTCACAATCATTAAAAATAGGGAGAAAAGAAAATTATATTCAAATTGAATCTCTGCCCCAACCATGCTGGAGCCAAGGTGGTATTGACCATCCTTCTGTGGCACACCCTCCATGGGCCCCCTTTATTTTGAATTCCTGGATCTGCCACTGGTGAAGAAATTCAAAGCAATTCTTTGGAAATAAAACCAGAAACCCACTAACTGAACAACAGAGGTGTATTTGTGTATTAAAAGACAGAATCACGATAGTGCTTTGACTGACTTTAACAGCGTTATTGTTTTATTCAAGAAAAAATAACAAAGGTTACAAATATAACAACAACTGCAAACTACAAAATGTTTAGGATAACATTATTTAATGTGTTGGTTTCTAACATTAAATCTCCTATAAGTGTAGAACAAAGCTGAATTCCATCAAGAATTGTTTTTCCACCCCTTCCCCACCCAATTGTGGGGAAGGGGTAGGGTGAAGCAAAGTCTGACAATTTTTGGTGGGAACCAATGGGATCTAGGGTTCTGACTTCTGGTTTCTTCGGAACCTGGGCAATTTAAGCTGTTTTAGCACATATACCAACTTGTGAAAGCACCCCCTATCACAAACGCATTGATAAAACTTTCTTTCAAAATATGTTGGGGACGGGGTGTGTGGGGAAGACATTATTGTGGGGCTCACTACTTTTAATTAAAATTATAATCTTTAGTTTGGCGAATTTCATCATATGACTGCGATACTTCGCTGATGACCTTATATTTTACCAAGAATATATAACAAAAATAAATTATTTCCATTATTAGGTGAGATAGGTGGCAAAGGGGATTGGCCTGACGAAAACCCCTGCTCTCCAGCCACCTGTACCATGCAACAAAAATGTATGAGAATAGTGGTGTGTCTTCAGTAAATAGAGTACAATTTACATGGGTTTGTGCACTTTGTGAAATCAGAAATTTGTGTGCTTTTTGTCATTTCTTGCTAATGCCTGCTTTTATCATTCTTTCCTGTTTGTAAACCGCATTCATCACCTTTGTGTGCACAGTACGAACATCATGTCTGAAGTGTGGCTGGCTCTCTAAAAACTGCTCAATGTCTTTCATCCCTGCAAATTCAAAACAAAAGTATGTTGTACTGTTATCTGTATGTACGAGTGTGACTGAGCCACTTTATTTTATTTATTCGGCCTTTTTAACATAATAGCACTTTCAGTGACTCAGCACAGATCTCACTAATGGATCACATGAACAAGAAAAGAAATGAAAATCAGAAAATAAAAATTACTATAGTTAAACTAAGTAAAGATAAATACTGTATACAGTTACATAATTCTGTGTGCTGCAACAAATGTAAAGGTCAAATTTGGGGATTGATTATGGGGGGGGGGGGGAGTGNNGGCGGTGCCAAGTTCAAGAGGGAGGACTACCTCCCAAAATTAGGCGATCTTTAACTACATGAATATGATTTTTTGTGGAGAGCCTGCGGTACAGTAAGTCTCCTCTAGATATACCACTGGAGCTATAGATTTTGATCTTTAAACAGTAAAGCAAATTCTTACAAAAGATTTGCAAAATAAAGATTGTAAACATTTTGTTGTACTGTAATTCTATTTTAGTAAATTTATGAATGCTACTGTAATCAAATTAAAATTCAATCACATTGAACAGTATTTGAAAAAAAAATAATCAGGAGATAGAAATTTAAAAACTGGGGGCTTTTTCTTCAAGCTGTCTTCAATATCTTAGAATAGTCATTTGTACTGGCTTTAAAGGATCATTGTATTCTTGAAGCATATACATTTTCAGGTATTATAAATGACTATTCCAAACCTGGAATTTTCTTGTCAGCTTCTCCCGTCAGGTAAGCTGAAAAGTACTTTAAAACTACATCTTCTTCACACTTATTCCATTTTGAATACTTGCGGCCTAATATTTAAAAAAAAAGTATAGAAATAGTATATGTTTATGTATATGAATCCCAACACGATGGCGTGTATTTCAATACTTGGAGTATGTATTATACTTTCCTAGTATATGTTTTATTGTACAAAAAGAAAGTGATCATCAGTAACATTGCAATATTTAGTTATTATCCACACCCACACATAATACAATACAAAATAAATGTATTGACTAAGTCATAATTGTTTGAATTCTAATAAGTGTTATAAATACTTAGGGAAAACTATTTTTAGTTAAACCTATATAAAACAACCACTCCCACCCCAACCTCCAACCAAAAAAAAAAAAAAAAAAAAAATTTCCCAAGCCAGACTAACCAAATTCTCAAAAATCATTTATCTTTACCTGAAGAACTGGGTATTTCTATCACAACTTCAGTTTCCTTGTTTACTGTACAGGCTGAAAAAAGTTGCATTACAGAAATATATGTCATTGAATTTGTACAAATGTAAATTAATCACCAGTAAACAATAACACTGTACTTTTTACTAAATGTTAATTTCTGCATATGTTAACACATACACAAGACGGAATAACCTGTAATCTGCAACTAAACATTACAAATAAATACAACAAATTAAATATGATACACTAACATGCAACAGTTTTATAACACTACTCAATGCAATTAACTAAAAGGCTGTTTGTGGAAATGTCACATATTCTAAAATGTTCAACAAAATAATGACCAACAGACAGAATTGAAAGATATTGGCTTCAACTAAGACTTGAAATTAAAATATTTTGCTTACTTTTAACGTCAGTGTGTTGACCTAAAGAAGAAGATTTGGGTATTCTTAGCACATCTTTGGTTTGCTTGTTTGCCAAAGCATATCCAAACACAATGTCTTTGTTTATTTCAAGATCAGCAACAAATTTATCAACTTCAGCAGCAAGGGAGTCTTCATCCTCTAATAGGTAAATTGCCTTCACAATTTTACTGGCAAATTTTAGCAAGTCATAGAGTACTTGTTTCAATCCTGCCGACTGGGATTTTGTATTATTTCTTGCATAATTTCTCACTGCATTCTCTAAATGTTGGAAGTTACCGCTTCGCAACATGTCACTAATATTTCCTTTCATTACTGTCAGTTCTCCCAGACTTTTTTCTGAATCTTTAAAGAAAATGTATAGGGATGCTAACTGGCGCATATCTGCTATCACAGATTCACATGCATTTAATTCATTGTCATTGTTTCGTTTTTGTTTCCCCCATAATCTCCTTCCAATTTCCACCAACATGGGGTCAATAACACATAGTCTATCTGTTCTGTTGTCTGCATTAAATCGGGAAAGAATGTTATCAACAAATTCTTGCCCATACTCATCCTTATAGCTCAACAAGGTCGATTGGAAACTTAAAGCATTTTTGTACCCTTGAACTTTTGAAGAACACCTATCCCGCATGTGGCGGTTAAAAGTCCGTTTAGACAGAACTGCTTGGCATCCTGGACACTTTACAGACTCCAAACTCTTCTTACATTTTGGAGTCCTCTCCCTTTCACATCTTGGTGCACCTAGTATTGCTCGCATGCTATTCACCTTCAGAATTCCTTCTCTTTTGAACAGTTCAAATACAGCAATTCTGTCTTCTTTTGGCAGTTGTAATGCCAACCGCACACGCTCAATACTTTGGTGGCTTACGCTAATATGTCTAGACAATTTTGATTGGTATTTGTTGCAAAACACACAATACCTAAGAGGTTTTTTGGATGTTTTCTTTGTGGAATGAATGCCTTCACCTACAATTGAATTACAACTGCCTGATCGAATCCCATTTAGTTGCTCTGGTTCCTCTATGTTATTCAGCAAATGTATTGCCTCTGGTGGGAATTCGTTGTTGGATGATGTCATGGGTAAATGAGGAAAGACCTCACTTACAGCTGACTTTGATTTCATAACATCACCTCGTTGCTCATGTTCGTCCTTATAGCTCAACAAGGTCTTATGCAAACTTAAAGCCTTTTTGTACCTTTGAATTTTTGAAGAACACCAATTCCGAATGTGGCGCTTAAAACACTGTTTAGACAGAACTGCTAGGCATCCGGGACACTTTACCGACTCCAAACTCTTCTTACATTTTGGAGTCCTCTCCCTTTCATGTCTTGGTGCACCTAGTGTTGCTTGCATGCTATTTACCTTCAGAATTCCTTCTCTTTTGAACAGTTCAAATACAGCAATTCTGTCTTCTTTTGGCAGTTGTAATGCCAATCGTACACGCTCAATACTTTGGTGGCTTACGCTAATATGTCTAGACAATTTTGATTGGTATTTGTTACAAAACACACAATACCTAAAAGGTCTTTTGGATGATGTTTTCTTTGTGGAAAGAATGTCTTCACCTACAATTGAATTACAATTGCCTGATCTAACCCCATTTAGTTGCTCTGGTTCCTCTATGTTATCCAGTACTTTCATTGCCTCTGGTGGGCAATCATTGTTGGATGATGTCATGAGCAAATGAGGAAAGACCTCACTTACAACTGACTCAGAATCTGAATTGCAATTGTCTGATCTCATAACATCATTTAGTTGCTTTGTTTCCTCTATGTCATTCAGTACTTTCATTGCCTCTGGTGGGCAATCATTCTTGGATGATGTCATGGGCAAATGAGGAAAGACCTCACTCACAACTGACTCAGAATCTGAATTGCAATTGTCTGATCTCATAACATCATTTAGTTGCTTTGGTTCCTCTATGTTATTCAGTACTTTCATTGCCTCTGGTGGGCAATCATTGTTGGATGATGTCATGGGCAAATGAGGAAAGATCTCACTTACAACTGACTCAGAATCTGAATTGCAATTGTCTGATCTAATAACATCATTTAGTTGCTTTGGTTCCTCTATGTCATTTAGTACTTTCATTGCCTCTGGTGGGCAATCATTCTTGGATGATGTCATGGGCAAATGAGGAAAGATCTCACTTACAACTGACTCAGAATTTGAATTGCAATTGTCTGATCTCCTAACTTCATTTAGTTGCTCTGGTTCCTCTATGTTATTCAGTACTTCTATTGCCTCGAGTGGGCAATCATTGTTGGATAATGTCATGGACAAATTAGGAAAGACCTCACTTACAACTGACTCAGAATCTGAATTGCAATTGACTGATCTCATAACATCACTTGGTGGTTGCTCTGGTTTCTCTATGTTAATTAGTAATTCCATTGCCTCTGATGGGCAATCGTTGTTGGATGATGTGATGGGCAAAGGAGGAAAGACCTCACTTACAACTGACTTAGAATCTGAATTACAATTGACTGATCTTATAACATTACTTGGTTGCTCTGGCTTCTCTACTTTAATCAGTTCTTCCATTGCCTCTGGTGGGCAATTGTTGTTGGATGTTGTCACAGGCAAGTAAGGAAAGACCTCACTAACAGTTGACTGAGAATCTGAATTTTGGTTGTGTGATTTCATAACATCACTTGGTTGCTCTGGTTCTGCTATCCTATTCAGTAGTTTCATTGCCTGTGATTCTTCAGAGCTCTCTTCTACTTCCTAATAAAAATATAATTAATAAAAGTTTGCACTGACCAATCTTAAAATCGATGGTATTTTGAGTTGCAAGTTATTACTGGATCAGAAAACAAAGACTTAATAGTGCAAAACATCAACTTTTTTTAACAGGTTTTTCTTCTTTTTTTTTAGAATATAACATAAATGGTAAAGCGTAGACTTGATAGTTGGGTGCTTTCGATTGCACAACGACGGTAGGACGTAGAACATAATGGCATCAATAAAAGTTATCTGCGCATGCGAGAACGTTAAAGTCACCTCGTCGAGTAGATTCTGGAACGCAACTTGGTCAAATCTACATATGCAGAGAACGTAAAACGCCAGGTAGGACTGTCATGCATGAGTGATTCCGTTCTAGCGCCGCATCGTCGCACAAATCGAAAGCTCCTTAGTGATTAATTTTTAACTACTGGTCCATGTTTTTTTGACAGAGAAAAGTCCCTCTAACCCTTTGACTTTATGCTGTTTATCAACACAGAAATATCAGGGTACAAATATTGCAATTTACCTGCATAGTGACTGCTGCATCACTTTTGTCTTGTTCCTTGCAATTATCATAATGTTCTTCCCTGGCATTCTTTTCCTGATTTACATATGCAGGATTACTTTCTTTACCTTTGTCAACGTTTGCTTCTTTACATACCTGTAAACAAACACATAAATAATAATACAGTAAGATGTCCATTTTACGTACTCCTTGGTACCGAGGGATGTTCGTAAATTTACAAAAATTGTAAACTAAATCAGATGTCAGTTTCCAACACCTACTATAGGCCTAGCTATCCCCTGCAATTGAGCGCTGATAGGCTTACAACGGCCAGGCCTAGCACGAACCGACAGTGCAGCAGTGTGGTCTACCGAGCCTAGCTGAATTTGTCTTGATAAAAACCAAATTATTTTAATCGCTGGCATTCTTCCACTTAACAAAATATTATTTTAACTCTTATTTAAACATTTGTATGTTTTATGGACCTTTCTATCCTGTTCTTTCTAGTTGTCCGAAATGTGTTGTTTACATGCATTTCGCGATCATATCTAGAATTCACGATGTCAATAAGTTTCTGACCCCAACACTCTCGTTCATCATCATAAACATGTGCGCTCAATCCGAAGACACTTACGTTTGTAGTTTGTTGTACTGGTTATGTCAACTACATAGTGATTATTATACCAGAAATTTCGAACTATTAATAAATAAATACAACAAACTTGAATTTATTAAGAAAAAATTATACATTATCATTTCTAAAACATGCGCAATTGGTTTATGATGACGTCATCGGGGGCAAAGATCATTTGTAAAATTGACGTTCGTAAAATGGACATTTAATATAGTATCAATTATATAGCATAGTTAGACAAAGTAAAGTTCAACAAATTTCACCAGAGCTCCCTGGGCCATGACCTTTGATTATCTGCTGCTGGGAAGCAACAGCATACCAACAAGCCTAAAAATTTGGCAGGTAAAATAAGATCGATTTAAAAATTATTTGAGTTAGGCAAAGGTGACTTAGGCAAGTTTAACTGTGTATTGATCATGCTAGCAGGCATTGACTAGCAAAGCACTGTTTTCAGATTGGTCAACATTTTTACATAGAATAGGTCACAATGGTGGGTCAACACTGGTATGTCACTCGACTTGAACAACCCAAAGTGAGCGCACTCAAAAATAACCTGACATCGATTGTGCCAAGTGCGTGCTGGACCTCGTTAACAATTACAAGAATCAAAATTTTAAAATGCTAAATCATTGGAGTTCACAGCAAAATGTTGTGATACTATGCTTACCTTCATATCCTTTCAGCCACTGTGTAAAGTTAACAGAATAAAATAAAAAGTAACAAGCATTTGCCACATGTAAACAATTAAGATGTAACAATCATTGCGTAATAGCATATAAACTTTACCAGGTGTTTGTTTCAGAGTTCTCAACTTCTTAAAATTTACTTCAGTACTATATGAATCAATGTTAAATATATAAAATAAATGGCTACATTCAGACCTGAGGGATACCATAGGCATATCCAACACCGGGCGTAAGTTAATAAATGGCGTAACTAACGAGATGTCCAGACTGGGTGATTAACTTAACGCTAGCATATTTACAAAAAATATTTGTATTTGCAATCACATATTTTATTTCCTGTTTACATCTAGGCGTATTGTGATTGGTCAACTCCTGGCCGAGTTCAAAATCATTGATGCATAACTCGTAACACAGTAGCTATGCTACACTAATCTGTGGTCTGTTGGTGAATTAATGTACGCTAGTGATTAAGTGGCATTCACAACGCTGCAAACTAGTTCACACCATTAACGTTACGCTAGCGTAACTTGTTGTGTCTGAACATAGCCAAATAAAGTAAATTATATTTGTTGACTATCTTTACCTTGCAAGCTGTTGAAATTGTGATTTTATTTCTGCAATAATCCTTTATGTTTCTCCATGATCTTGTTTGCAGACATTTTTCTTTTTTCTGGCACTTTTCAATTTCTGCTTTGCCTGGGATTCTCCCCATTAAAATATTCTTCTTTAAATGTTTCATTACTGCTACTCTTTCTGCATTACTCCACTTTCTCTTAATTACTATTTTTGTCTTAGTTTCTAAAAATAAAAAAAATAAAAAATATGCAGACAAAAATCAAAACATATTACAAATTAATCAAATAACTTCATTTAACTTGATATTATATCATAAGCTACAATTGATAAGAATGAAACTTGGATGCTTTATCATCACATTAGGAAACTAAAAAATATTTAATTGATGTCATTTGGGATATACAGTATTAACTTACTTGACATATTTAACCGCTGTTTTTTCCTACGCTTTCCCGCATCTATCTTCTGCGGTTCATCTGTGTTCTGTAATCCATCAACCTCTGAAAATATTAAATTAATTCCTTAATTTAACCATTCATTAATTTATTTATTCAATTAGTTATTCATGATTGTATAAAAATACACACACAAAAAAAGCTAGGAATCCACTAGAATGTTAAAATTCTTAAATGCAGTGTCAGGGGTCCCAAGTTGGAAGAAGTCATTTCCTGGAGATCAGTGGTGGTGGGTCAAAAAGGGGAGGGGGGTGGGTGAGGAAGGGACTTTTACAGATGGAGGGTCTATATCACATCCAGGAAATGAATCAGTCAGTGATCTGGTTAATGAGCTTTCTTAACAACACATTTAATTTTATTTTGCTGCACATAGAGATAACCATCACCACAGAAAAAATAAGGTCTGAAAAAGAATTTGCGGAGATGGGTCAATTTCCAGAGTACTCTTGGTTGCTTGCGGGAGTCTGCCCCGATTTCCGGGAGGCTCCCGCGATTTCCAGGAGACATGGTACCCCACCAGTGTAGGCAACATTCATCCAAATTTAGTACACCTAATTATTCTGACAAGTTCTGAACCGTGATAAAAACATGTTCTAAAATTAGTTGGAAATCTTTCTACGAACCTAATTCACTGATGAGTCTCATTTTGGGATTGTTTCTTCTTCTTTTATGAAGTGTGTAAAGGGCTTGATTAGATACCTCCTCTGCCCATCTATGAGTGTAAAGTTCTTGTGATTCTTGGCACTTCTCCTCTAAATATTTATCTCCATTTATGATAGCATTTCCCTTTTGTATAAGACAACACATTTTCAATGTGCCCCCTAACTTAAGTGCTAAGCTGGGTCTACTGTAAATCTGAGTGTCCTCTGCATATCCAGCAATCGACTTTGCTGCGGTGACCACGTCGGTGAAATTTTCAGGATCAATTAAAGTGCTCAGACTTGCACTGCCAGCTTTACTTACTTTCCTGAAAGCTATCACAAGACGGCCAACCTCCCTAAGCTTATTTCTTGTCGTCTCAAAGTTATCTTGTTCAGGCCTGTGATTTGAGCAGAGTTTATCACCCAGCTGAAGCAGCAAATCATCTCCTCTTATAACTTTTCGAACCTCATCAAAATTCATTCCCTCTAAAACTTTCGTCAGACTACACCTCATTTCATTCGGAGACGACAAAAGCATCATTCCCTCACGAACTCGCTTATTTCTCGTTTGCTTTGTATCAACCTGCAGCACAGGGCACCTGTGCTTCCAAATATCTCGTTTGCCTAAATATCCATAACAACTTTTACAAGGCACGTAATCCAGAGCATTCGCTTCACCCGTTGGTCTGTGCACGACCAGTAGAGCACCTTTACCATTTCTTATCACCTCTGAGTTGTGTAAATGATTCCCTAAATTTCTCATTTTGGTCAATTTTGATAATCTAATCTGCTTATTTTTTTCCGTCAACCAATCTGACACTGCTTCCTCATCTTTGTGACGGTGAATAAAATGTCGTGTAAGTTTTTTTTGTGGAATTTTACAGAACATACAATAATAGACTTTGTCAAAACGTCGTCCGGATTTAGAATTATTTGTTTTCATAACAGTAATTCCTTCAACAGGCTTGGATCTGACACCTTGCTCCTGATGAAATGAACATTCTGCTGTTGACTCCTTAGGGAACTGATGAGGATATGTCTGAGTGGAAATGTTGCTTGTTGACTTTTGACCTTCAGAAACAACATGTTCACAATAAGTGCTTCTATTTTCAGCACAATTGTTGTCTGTAGTTATGGGATCCTTATCTTGGTGTTGAGTATTTTCATCACTAGTTGCTCCTGCATCATCATTGTCATTGTCAGTAGCAACTTTGTACTCTTCCTTAGATACACCATGATCATCGACATCACTCTCCACATTTGCATCATTTTCATCCTCTTTTTGACTGTTGGCTTTATCTTCATAGTCTTTTCCTTTGGAGCAAAAGATTACAAGGCAATTAAATTAAAGCACTACATAATTATAAAATTTTAGAAGGGAATGTTATACATAATGCTACTTACCAAACATAGGTAGCACTGTGATGACATCCTCTTTTTCAGTATTTATAAAATTATTGATAGATGATACTTCTGTCTTCTGCAAATAAAATAACAGAATAATTAGCTACCAATTATTCTTGTGGAAAATGGCAAACTGAAAAAGATGAAATATATTCAAAGTGTATCAATCATGCTAAATATAATATCATGGATGAATAATGTGAAAGATATGAGTGATTATTAACAGAGCATTCAAGAGTTTAATCACAAAGCAGTGTGTGACATACTATATTTGCTTCTTTTAAGTATTCATATGGAACTTAATAAGAATAACAAAAGTGATTATCATCATAAAATTTGATGATAAAATGTACACTGGATATCAAAACAGAAAGGCCCTTTCGAGGAATTAAACTGTACATTAGAAATAAGCGTAAAAAAAAGATCATTTCGAAAGTTTGAACATGAATAACTAATACACAGTAGAAATAATTCTTAAAATATGAAAGTACTCCTAAATTGATCATTGTGATGAATAAATTGAAAGATACGAATGCTTATTAACAGTGCATTCAAACATCCAATCACAGGGCAGTGTGTTATACTGCATTTGCATTGTTACATGGTTTGTACAGTACCTACCTCTACTGCGCATCTGTGCTTCCCGATTTCCTTTTTGGTAAAGTATCCGTAGCATCTTGCGCAAGGAACATAGTCTAAAGGGTTAGCTTTAGAATCCGGTCTGTTTACAACCAGCAGAGCACCTTCACCACTTCTCTGCACATGTGAGTTGTGTAAATGATTCCCTATATTCCGCATTATTTTCAGTTTTGTAAATTTTTTTGTTTTCCGTCTTTCTTTTAACCATTCAGCCACTGCTTCTTCGTCTTTGTGAGAAACGGCGAGATGTCGTGGCAGCTTTGTTCGCAGTTTGTTACAGAACATACAATAATGAATCTGATCCCAACATCTTGCATATTTAGTATTATTTTTTTGCATGACAGTAATACCTTCAACAGGCTTTGAATTTAGGCCTCCCTCTTCCTGATGAAATGAATTTTCTCCTAGGGAGTCCTTAGGGAAAAGATGAGGGTGTTTATGCAAAGTAATATCTCCTGATATATCTTCACTTTCTGGAAAAACATATTCACTTCCCTGTGGTTCACCCTCAATGTCTGTAGTTATGTTATCTTGGTGTTGAATATTATCATCGTAGTTACCATCTGCTCTTCTATTGTCTTTACTGTCTGTATGAACTATGTACTTTTTCTCAAATACAAAACCATCATCATGGTCTGCACTTCCATCCTTGTCATCCTCTTTTAATCTATCAACATCATCTTCACTGACTTCCTCTATAATAAAAATGATACCCAAATATTCATATAGTGCCAATTCCAACAAATGCTCAAAGGCGCTGAGCGTTATTACCCCTGGTCACTGGATAACATACAATGGCAAACCAACACAAAGTGCAACTTTCTCTAATCCGTGGGGAGAGTACACCTAGTAGTGTGCTACTTGTTTAGCGCACGCTAATAGTACATTCAATGCCACAAAATACTACCAGGTACCCACTTATACTCCTGGGTAGAGAGAAACAAACGTAGATAAGTGCCTTGCCCAAAGACACGAGCGACATGTGCAGCACTGTATATTGTATTTATTAAAATATGAACACTGCTTACCAATTGTAGGTAGCGCTGTGTAAATTATACCATCCTCATACTTGATGGTTACAAGATCATCATTGTTACATACCACCTTCCCTGTATACCAATTGTTAATGCTCCACCCGGCTGGTCGCATCGTTTCTTCAATCCATTGCTGTAATAGACAAGTAAAGACCTTGCACAGTAATAAAATAAACTGATCAATTACAAAATACTGTACTTACAATTATCTGATTTTGACTTACAGTTTGTATGGTTGAAAACGCATGATATTTTGAGGCAAACAGGCTACATATACTGTGTTTGACTTTATGATATCATCATCAGGTCAAGCATGCGCTATTTCTGTAACATTGGCTGCCTTTCAGATGTTCCCATTCTCCATGGCTCTTTGCATACATACGAGTAATAATAACATTATATAATATATGAGAAATAATACTGTATACTAATTTACAAGTAAATATATTAATACATGTAACATGGGAAGTAATACAGTATATTGATATATGCGTAATAATATATTGTATATACTTATAACAGCCAAATTAAGTTTCAGATGACATCGTCCTAACCTCAAAGGTATGTAATAGTGAAACTAAAATCCTACCGTGTCAACGTCCTCTTTTTCTTCTTTTATCTTTCTTTTTAGTCCGGATGCCATCTATAAGACACAAGATATATTAATGATATGTCAATATGTTCATGTATCCTTGATATGATTCCATAAATATAGAAAACAATATCAGATGCAGTGGCATATAACTGGGGGATGCACAGCGACCATGCCCCCCCAAAAAAATTACTCCCCAATTTTCCCTCTTCCCATACAGGAAAAGATTGAAGCAAAAATAATTATGCATTAAAGTAGTTCTAAATCGGCTCATAAGCTCCTCTAACTTAATTATCATGCTCCATCACCTTCATTTCAATATAGTTTTCCTTTTTTATTGATGAAGGACTGTTTTTATTTGGCAAGAATATTGGAAATTGTAAAACTGGTTTAATTTTATTGTTTAAAAAAAAAATGTATTTCCAGTCACGAAATTGAATTGTTTTTTAAGCTGTTGAAATAAATCATCCGGCATCAATATCTCCCAAATTTTTGACGCAGACAGGAGTGATAATAATTTTTTCTGTGTTAAATCTGTTTATATACTTTGCGATTGTGACATCTGCCTATTGTGATACATTTATCAATCTCCTATTCCTAAGCCTATTTGGAACGCTTTTCTGTATTTTCATTTCGAATTTGTGTAGTGCTGTTAGAAAGAGTGCAAATTGCTAGGCCTCTTTATATAGGCTAGGCCCTAGGCCTACTCTTGGCCAGGCTAGGCCTACAATACAATCAATACTTCATTCCTACAGCCTAGCCTAGGCTACCCACCCAGGCTAGCCTAGCTAGGCTACCCACCCACCCGGCTAGCCTAGGCCTCCTAGACGGCCCCTCATATTTCAGAATTAATATACAAACACACGATCCTAAGCTGGGTCAAGATGAATTTTATTCACTTAGAAATCTAGAAAACGCACAAACCTACCACGCAGGCCTAGCAAGCACTTTCTTTATAACTAGCCTCCTACAGTTGTTTCGCGCCACAAGCTAGTCGCCGCGCACCATCCTCCAGATATGGAACGCCGTTACTGCCTTTGGTGGCTCTTTTCCGTTCGGCGCATTTGCTATTCGGCCATTTTAACATTACGAGAAGAGAGAAGGAGCGCGCAAGTTCCACTAGGCTCGTTCCCACAGCCGTTGATTTTTTCCACTTGACCCGAAGACAAAGGTCATGAAAGCACCGAATGATAAAAGAACCGTACGTAATGATGAAAGGGCCGAAAGGTAAAACTAAAAAGCACCAAAAGATAAAAGATCCGTAAAGCTACGTTCACATCAAGCCCGGATTCCGGTCCGGAGTCCGGAGAAAAAATCGTGAGAAATGGCTTTAGTGGTAAAGAATAGAAGCGTTCACATCTACACAGTCCGATTTTCCCCCGGACTCCGGATTCGGAGCAATGGATCAGAAAGCCATTGGAAACGTGAATCCGAACGGATTTTTATTTCTGACCAATCAGCGACAAGTGTGAATGACCCCAACGCTAGCTCTGAACTGA